ATGTTCAAACCAGCAAACTTGATAAAGGGCATAGAGCCAACTAGAGGAAATGTCAAATTACCAGAGATTTGCATCTATATTTCAGTAATATTTGTTGAAGTATTTTTCAGTAACAAATACAATCAGTAAAATATTCAGATAATGTTTTGCTATTACATTCTCCTGAATCACAAGATAGATTCTGAGAAGGTGGAAACGAGATTACATTCTAGTGATAAGAAACTGATAGAGGGAAGTGACTGACATTGCTAAAACGGAGTATGTTAGTTATGTGATTTTAGATTACAGGCTGGGATGTTAGGGACCCAACTCGCATTGAATTTTGATGGAAGATGATTGCCTAACTTTGACAATACCAGCCATCAGTCTTTATGGCAGAGGTTCTCAAACAATGATTCATGTATCACAGGTGGTAGACAGAGCACTTCCTGGTAGTCCAAAGAAAGCTGGCTGGTCACATGGCGATGGCTCCTCCTCCTTGTACCTAACAGCTAAAATGCTTGAAAAGGCATCAAAAATACATTAAAGGGTGAGTTTGTCAAAAACGCTCAGCATGAGTTTGACTTCACTCCCACTGAAGTCATTGGTAAAATTCCCATGGAAGCAGTTAGGTCAATGCTGAGCACTGCTGAAAATCCCCTTACCAAACACTTTCCTAATATTATTTTTCTATGTAAGCAATCGCTGTCGTTACCATATAGGGATGTCACATAATCATGAATGGGAAGGGAAATGGCCTGCATGACCACCGATTAGTGTGGGCGGGAATGGTCCAGGTGACAATCTGTCTGTTAAGCATAAAGAAGACAGAGAACACCTACTTTATAGGTTGTTAGCTGGTTATAGGCAAGAAAATACAGGCCCTGTTTAGAGTCTCTCTGAAATATTAATGACAGGTTTCAGAGTAGCAGCCGTGTTAGTCTGTAGCCGCAAAAAGAAAAACAGGAGTACTTGTGGCACCTTAGAGACTAACAAATTTATTAGAGCATAAGCTTTCGTGGACTACAGCCCACTTCTTCGGATGCATACAGAATGGAACATATATTATAAATATGCATCCGAAGAAGTGGGCTATATGCATCCGAAGAAGTGGGCTGTAGTCCACGAAAGCTTATGCTCTAATAAATTTGTTAGTCTCTAAGGTGCCACAAGTACTCCTGTTCTTCTTTTTGTGAAATATTAATGGAACTGAAGGAGACAACAGAGTAATGGTCCAGGCTCATATGTATTATTTTGTTGCTACCATTTTATTAAGGTCTGTCATGTCTATATTATGTCTATATTGTTGGTTTTGTTTTTTAGTTTTTGTTTTTTGGTAGATCTGTATTGTTTATTCATAACAGCTTTGTCACACAATTTCTTAAGAAGGGAAATAATGTCTTTAAATGCTAATATGATTTATTTGCCTCCTTCTTTATTTCTACAACAAAAATGTAATCTTTATTATTTTTGTCCCTTCTAAACCTGCTCAGGCAAAAAAAGGCTCAGGCAAAAAGATTATGTATTTTAAAGTCTATGATACAATTTTTTTACACAAAGACTAATTCGGTTTTAGCTTCTGGGTATCTTTTGAAAATACCTTTTAAAAAGTCATTTTTAACTGGAAATAATTGCTGTTTACCGCACTTGGTTCCTTTCAATTTGTAAAATATACTTATTTGGTTTAAAAAAGCTTATCCCAAAATACATACTTTAAAATGTAAGCTAGTCTATCAAAGACATTTAGATTCATTTTTTACACAGGACAATGGAATTAGGGGCCAATCTTACAAAGATCTGAGCACAGAAACTGCCATGTTGGGAATACAAAGCAGAAGCAGCACTGTTTGTCCAGAGCCATTTGATAAAACGATAAGACAGCACTTGAGAAAATTTCAACTCCTGGAAAAAAAATCACATTACAATATTTGCAATCACCAAAATAATTTCAATAAGAGCAAATTAGTTATCTTACCTGCAGCAGCACTGCAAAGAGACCTGCTCATCTGAACGTTTGTCTGTGGCTGAATGAAAGAATCAAACCTACATTCACTGACTCTCCTCTCCTGAAATGTATTTGACCCAGAAATCTCTCTCCCTTCCTCTTTTCTCTTTCCTTCTTCTTCTTCTTTTTTTTTTTTAATTTGTGTTTGCTGCATGGCTGGCCACATCTACCTTTGTCATGTCTACAACAGTGATTTCCACCCTGGTAGGACTGAAGGAAATCTCTTTTGGTCTCAAAGCAATGCAAGGCACTGACAACAGCACTGGTAAAACATTCAAGAGGAAAACAACAACAATGAAAAGGAAAACTTAGGTATTTATACAGAACTACCAGATGGGTTCACCTTTTTTGTTCAACAGCTTCAGAACTGGATTAAATTCTGTAAATACCATTGCATTACACAGAGCAGACAGACAGACAGACACAAAAAGGTATACACAGACAACTGAGTAGCATGAGGGGCTGAGGGTTTAAACAGGTATTGTACACACTGGGTCAAATCTTGCAGTCTTTACGCATGCAAAGTTCCCACTAAGGTCAATAGGAGCTTTTCCTGACTAACTATTGCAGGATTTGGCTTATTAGCAGTTAATGTTATCAGGCTATCCTGACTCCAAGCAACAAAAGTTTAATATAGCTTCCAATTATAAGGCCTTGATCAGGTGAAAAAGGGATTTGCTGAATCAAGGCCTAATTCACTGAAAGAAGCACAAGACGATATTAACCAGAGCTGTTTGAAACTTTTCAAATTTCGATGAAAAACTAGACAAATTTTTGGGTGACAATTTATACTAACATTTCCTTTGTTTTTTCAACTAACTCTAATATGAACCCCCCAAGAGCCAAACATAAAAGAGGAGCTTACAGCACTTTGGAACTCTTTGGCCATCAGTGACTGAGGAACTACAGTACAGGAGCTCTGTCAATGTTTCCCTTATAAACCTGTATTTGCAGGAGGTTATAAATAAGTCCAATGAAGTTTGCTCTCAAACTGAAAGTTAGTAGAAAAGTTTATCATAGAAACATTTTTTTAAATCCAACCTTTAAAGCAAACAACATGAATGCTGTAAAAACTATCATACTTAGCAAGTATATAATACATTACATCTTCCAGCCACTCTACAATCATTGACCCTAAAGTCCTCACAACACCCCTGTGAGGTGGGCAAGCAAGCATTATTATCTCATTTTTACATATGAGGAAAGAGAAACACAAAGAAGTTAAGTGACTTTCTGAGTCATTTGCAGAGCTGGAAACTGCTCAGTCTATTAGGCCAAAGAGATGTCTACTGTTCTGTCACTTCTTTGCATTGATACAACAAAATGGCTTCCATTTAAAAGACATTTGGCAAGTGATTATAACATTCTGTCAATTAATCAATTTTGCTACTGTATAAAACCCGCAAAGTAATAAGCAATAATACGGTTAGTGAAAACATTGTGCAAAGCCAATGCCAAACCCAAGGTAAAGGGATCTTAAAATTAGTCTCAAGCAGATCAACAACCCCTTCATTCTCTTACTAAAAATCAAAAGGCACACCCTGAACAGTAAGATAATCAAATAAATCAACACAAAAAGAGCAGTGAAATAATGAAAATGCCCCTAGCAATCCTAAAAATCTTTGCCAGTGTAGTACTGGTTTCCTTTTTTTTTCTGAGTGGTTTTATTTGATTACCATTACCTTTGAGTAGACATTGTAATATTTGCTCAACAACAGGAATGTGAATGTTACGATAATAATGACAAAGAAATCAAAGTTTGCATATTGGTTACTGCACATGCCAAGTAAGTATTTTCAATACAAAGTACCCAAGGATGTGACATTTGTCAATGTATACAGGAGATGGACTGACCCAAAACGCAGGGATATCAGGTATAAAAAAAGTGTCTCATTGCAGAACGTCATGGTAAACTGAGAGCTAGCACATATTGGGACATCACATAAAAAATACACATTTCCAACACTAGTGCAGGATAAATCACACACAGTATGTACTCAACAGACAGTAATAGGTTATTGCTATGACACATTAACTTTCAAGATATTTATTTTAAAAAACAAGAAGGAAGGTGACATGAAAACTATATTCATACTATAATGATAATGTCAAATGGCTGATTTAGCTCACAAAGACAAGGGAATTCATAGGGCCGAATTTTTCTCTCAGATCCATATGGTAGGGCTCAGCAGTAATGTTCTGCTCTTCCTCTGTCGATGTTAATGGGAGACTCAGACACCCAGACCCTGATTCAGCAGTCTACCTCTATTCATCAAAACACATAACCATGGGCTTAATGTTAGGCATGTGACTTCAATGGGATTTAAGCACATGCTTCAAGTTAAGCACATGATTACATGCTTTCTGAATTGTGGCTTCAGGGACAGCAGAATGTGGACATTATTGGGTTACTGACGTTGAGTACTACTGTGTGGATCAGAAAGTATAATTTGCTTTAAGAGTAGAATTTCACTTTGGCACCTTGGTACAGAATCCCCATATACACCAAGGCACAGAAATGTGAATTAAAGCTGGAAAGCAGAAAGAATAATCGAACTCTGAATCTCCTTGCTTGTATGGACTTGGATTGTGAAACAACATTAATGCTGGTTAATTTCCAACTAAACACATCTTAACAGACTGTAGTAATCAATATTTAACACCACGTTCTAGGCTCACACTTGGGAAGTCTCACTATTTAGACATCTTGGCTTGTAATATCTATTAATAATTATTGTTCATATATATATATATCTATATCTATATATATATATAGATATATATATATGTCTGTGTATTTATTTTTGCTTACTTCCAATTATCCCTGTGTATATGCATATATCTCATTTGTGTGTTACGGTCACTTTGCAGATGGCACTTCATTGCTGGGGAATGCTTAGTCTTTAAGCTGAAGCTAGCAGGAAGTATTTCCATTTACTACTTCCCCCACCTCTTCATACGAGCATTTGTTCCCTTCCTCGATAGATATACTCTGAAATGTCCAGGGGACCCTTACCTTCTGCCAGTGTTCCAGTCTGTTCTGAGGCTGGTGATGGAGGTGGGGAAGGAGGCAGATTAGCTGATTCTTCAACTGCTAGAGATTGAACAATGCAAATGAGAAAATGAGATACAGCAATTAATTCCTGTGAAACCATTAGATGCTGAGTACAAGCTGCAATTCTGGCCTGTTCGGAGAATACTTAAATGGAGGTTGAGCCTAATAGATTTTCAGATATACTCCCTTTTTCAATGTATTATTTTAAACCTATAATGAAAGGAAAACATTTCCTATCAGGTGCCCTGCCTTACGTTCAAGAGTCTGGTCCCAGGGTACAACAAAATAAAATAAAAAAGTATCAGTCCTTTGTGTTTGTGTCCCATCTGTTAGCCAGATCAATACTATTGTTCGTTCATGATTTTGAGAAAGCTTCATTCACAAACCTAGGATTGCAACATATTTAAATCAGTGAGATTTTAAAGATTCAGTTCGATCACATGAAAAAGGGATAAATAGGCACCCAATCCCAAGCTTAGTTTACCTTTGGGTAGCTGGACAAACAGCACTTTGCTGGGTTCTTACATTATTACAACCTGGGTATTTTTTTTCTTTCTGCTGGGTTTAGGGCTAGCTGCATAATATATGCAAATGTTCCTTGTCATAGTATGAAAGGTACCAGCTGGAAGCATCACCAAGGAAGGAAAACAAGTCAATGGGGAACTTCTGTCACCCACCTGATCATGGTATTTCATCAGAGGAAGGCGCTATATTGAAGCCTAATCTAAGGTTTTAGATTAATTCCCAATTAAGGGTCTTATCCTGTTCCCACTGAAGTCAGAGGAAGTTTTGTCAATGGTTTCAGTAGCAGCAAGATTAAGCCCTAAACAAGGTATCTCTCAGGTATACTCAGATTCTTCATCTGATTTCACAGAAATAGTTTTGAGAATTTCTTCAGAGTTAGTACTGGATCTATCAAGTTTTTTTAAACTTTATGCCATAGTATTTCCTGGGCTGCAAATGATTCCAGCAAGAAACTAGGTCTCAATTTATGATTTAGGGCGTGATCCCCAGACCAATGAAATCAATGGAAAGACTTTCATTGACTTCAATGGATATTGGACCAGACCTAGGTGCCTTGAATACTTCCTCTTGAGACTGGCTTTTTGATCCCAATGCAGATCATACAACCACATTTAAATAACTCACAGATGTACTTTCGTACCTATAGGCGCTGTAACAGAAATCATTGCAAACACATACGTTGTTTCTCAGAGTATGTTGAAGAATGTCTCAACACCCAGGCTGTGTAATTAGTTCTGCCCTCACTTAGGCCCAACTCAGCAAAGGAGTTAAGTGTGCGTTTAAATTCCATAGATCTCGATAGGACTTAAGCAAATGCTTAAAGTCAAGCCTGTGTTAAGTATTTTTGCTGAATTAGGGACTTTCAGGCAAAATTGCACCTCAGTTAACGAGCCACTATCATAATAAACACAATAATAACAATAACGGTCGAAGTTGCTCAGAGAATGTAACGCAGACCTGGTGGGAGATGGACTAGTGAAGATAGGGTCAGCGAGGCAGTCAAAGGTGCATGATAAATTGGGGAAATGTGACATTTTATTTATTATCTGGTTACAAAATTTATCCCAGGGTTCTACAATTTATCCATGACTATCAGCACCACCTTTGTGATCTACATGCATTATATATTGTGACCTGATATTAATAATTATATTTATATACAGCTGCACACATAGAGATACCTTCCCCACTCTTGCAAATGCCTTGTTTTACCTAAAGGTAATGGTCCAGGCTGATCTTTGTGCCGGGCTTCTTTTTCCTGTTCACCTTTCAGGACTGCTACAGCTTCAGCTGTTACTACTTGGACTATCCTTGCAGACACTTCCTCTGTGATAGTAGCAAAATTAACAAAACAAAAACGGTGCGTTAATAAGAGATTTTTAAAAAAACGAAATTGAGTCTGGCTAAAACTTTCAGAGTCAGACTCATTCAGATTTTTAAAAAATTTATTTTCTTTCAAATATTTAGGGAAATCATTAGAAATGAAATTAAAGGACCAGATTTGCAAAAGATCTCAAGCCCCAGCACTCCTATTCTTCTCAGAGGGAACTGCTGGGTGTTGAAAATCTGTCCCTGAATCTGTAAATGTAAAAGTAATTTTGAATCTTACTCCTTGGAGCAAGGACAGTATAAGACATCACTGCTTAATCACTGCTTCTAATTTTTGGTATGGGAGATATATGCAGTAATTGCAGAACTTTAAAGTGAGAATTTATTAACTGTCTAGGAAGATTTTTCATGTGCAATTTTGCGACCATGGCATTTTCCAAACATGGCCAGGATGACAAGCTGAGATGGATTTTCTGGCATCTAATATATTGAGTTATTTCTATTTTTACAAGTGCTTTGGATTGTATTTTTCCTTCATTAGCATACAGTTAGTATGCATTCAGGGCACTGCACCTGAAGACATTGAAGGGTATGCTGATGAGGGACTTAAGAAAGAAGGGCCAATGACATTTCGACAACATTAAGATGTATACTTTATCCGCCTCACCTTTTTCAGGGCTGCACCATGCAGGCAACTCTACATTTGAATCACAGATCTGAGAGCATGCAAATGTATTCCATGTGATACCACTGTCGGGGATGACGGAGGTTCATAGCAATGTGTTTGAGGTGCAGACTTTGCCTCCTGACCACTCAGTTGTGCCATCGAAGCTCAGCCAAAACGAAGGGCCTATACTGCCCCCGGAAGAGCAGAGCTGCTGCTGCACCCCTTGATGAAATGCTGCATGCTACATGGACTCGTGTGGAGGGGTGCTGAGGTGGGGCCATGACCCAACTTCTCCCCACCTCCTTTGGAATGCTGTCTGCCCCTGGGGGAGTAGGGAGTGAGGAGTCACTACGCTCTCCTTAGTGCTAGGAATGCAATTGTTCCTGGTCCTTACATGGGCTGGAAATGTTCCCTACACCCTTCTTCCCATCTCTTTAATGCGGCCAACATGACCCTGATTTACGGACTGATCCAAAGCTCAGTGAAGTCAATAGACATCTTTCCACTTCAAAGGGTTTTGGATCAGAACCTTATTCCACTATGAACGCTCATACAGTTACACATAAGGCACATTCGTTTTGGTTGAACGGCCGATGCTATCACAGGATGAAGATCACCGAAGAGAAATTAGTTGGGTACTTTTCAAGCACAGCATCTGTTGCTTTGTACAACACAGCAACAAGGAAACAGCGAAGAAATCCGTTCAGTGCAATTTACAGCCTGGACGTTTCCTTTTTGCTTTTAATTATTGAGTAGGGGATTTTCAAGCCATCTCGGGGATTTGGGTGCCCGATTCCTATTCAACTGAAGAGGAACTGGGCCTACAAATTCTCATGCAGCTTTGAAAATACCACACTCAAGTCACTTTAATACATGCAAAAACTTCTCCCATTTGTAACTTAGTGCCTTTAGATGGACTGCATGAGACTTTCACATCCGGTAAAAATGTGGCCTGGAGGACGGTACGCTATTACCCAATGAATTTACATAAGAACATAAGAACAGCCACACTGGGTCAGACCAAAGCTCCATCTAGCCCAATATCCTGTCTTCTGACATGGCCAATGCCTGGTGCCCCAGAGGGAATGAACAGAACAGGTAATCATCGAGTGATCTACCCCCTGTCGCCCACTCCCAGCTTCCAGCAAACAGTCTAGGGACACCATCCCTGGCCATCCTGGCTAATAGCCATTGATGGACCTGTCCTCCGTGAAATTATCTAGTTCTTTTTTGAACCCTGTCATAGTCTTGGCCTTCACAACATCCTCAGGCAAAGAGTTTCACAGGTTGACTGTGCGTTGTGTGAATAAATACTTCCTTTTGTTTATTTTAAATCTGCTGCCTATTAATTAATTTAGTGCTAATATGCATGAAGATTTTATAATACTTCTTAGGCTAATGGCCCAACACTGAAATGGCAACTGCAAATGCAGCTGCAGGATTCAGGCCTAAATTTGCAAAGGATTTGTTAAAGGCTGTCTTATGATAACTCTTACACACAGTGAATAGCACCTTACTCCACGTGGAGTCCTATTGAGGTCAATGGGACTATCCATGGAGTTAATACTACTGACCGTGAGTACGGATATCTCAAACCCCGCCTTAGGGGTACAGTGGGATGTAATCAGGCATGCAACTACATATGGAAATAGCCAGGAAGATCTGCCTAGTTGCCATTTTAGGTCCTTAAGGCCAGATTTTAAAGGTATTTAGGCACCTAAATCTCACTTAAATAAATGAGAGTTAGGTGCCTACATATGTTTAAAAATCTGGCCTTTAATGAAATAGCAAATTGATAGTACATGCATCCAATTGCAGAACCATTTACAAAATAAATAAACCATTATGTTTCCTGCCATGCAGCCCCTCATACTTGGGAGGAGCTCCCATAAATATCTGCAAAACTAACTCATTATCTTCCTTCAAAACCCTCCTTGAAACTTGACTTTGCCACGTGAGGCCTACAAAATATTTGAGAATGATTTGGCTTCTCGTGTGCTGACCAATATTGTCTCATTGTTTCTTTGTACTTCCCCATCTGTCTCTATCCAGCTGTTTCCTCTTGTCTTATACATAGACAGTTTGGGACAGGGACTGTCTTTTTGTTCTGTGTTAGTACAGTAGCTAGCACAGTGGGGTCATGGTTCCTGACTGGGGCTTCCAGCTGTGACTGAAATACAATCAATCAATAAAATAAAATTCAGAGAACAGTTGTGGGTTTCACATCTGCATATCTATCTACACTCCCTGGCTCATTAACATCCAGATTCCTTTCTACTTACAGCCATAGTCACTGTATTTCCCAGGTATTCCTGTCAGCAGGTGGGAATTACTTTCAGACATTTAGGGCCATTCTACACGGTGCTGAGTGCCCTCACATGCACTGAAGCCAACTGAAATCATAGCAGACTCAATGCCTTGCAGTTTCAGGCCCACTATATGCATGGCCCAGACTTGCCCTCAGAGTCTTACCAATACAAGCATTTCCACTATGTACCCATAAAATTCAATGTTGCTGTGGATGCCAATTGCTTTACTACAAATTAAATGCAATCCATCAGTGTCCAACGATGATGACATCATGGAGCATCCAGTGAGAGCAAGGATGATAGCACACCAGATATCATTTCCTTTAGCATGGGTGAGCAGGTGGAGAGGGCGTATATTTAAGTCAATACCCTGCACATAACTTTACAGCAACTGCTTTCGCAGGCAAGTAATGCAGGCTATTAGATTTACAGTTGACCTACTATCACCTTTAAAGTTCAAATGAACATTCCAAAAGGTTTCTAAAATAATCATTTTTTCTCCGTGTTTTTCCTTCAACAAGACTGAGTTTCTTCTGAGAACTAGAGATATGGCTCCCTGCCTTCCACAGTCACCTGAGTCTAAAAAAATGCTGGGACAAAGCCAATGTTCATTTCTTTACTGCAGAAACTTCATATGTAATGAGGTATCAAGACACTTGCAGGCAAGGAATATTTCCCTCACAATTGTTGGTCTTCATAACTGACATAATTTACTCCCCTCTTGACTGGTAGCCAGAAGGGCAACTGATAATAATAAAGTTTTACTGACTGCAGCCAGCAGTAAATGACAATGGAAGAGTACGCCAGTCCCAAAATGCATCCAGAATATACCAGGCAAAGCTCCATTTTGCAACCCAACCTCTTACATAACCATAGCAATGCAATACTAACCGTTCACCAATGTTACTCAATATTGTGTGTGTGGGTTTATGAGAGTGACTCATCTTCCAAAGTTGACCTGTGTAAATAGCTGTTTCCACTGACTAGAGAATATGGATTGTTGATTTGGAGCCCATGGTTTCCCTTCTGAAGCATGTACAGAGTGCAAAGTGGAAGAACTGCACAGAAAAGACAGGAATGGGGGAGTGGTAGCTCAACTGCACAGTCTACCTGCTTCTTGGCAACCTCTGGTAGCCCCTCCATCACAATGCCATATGGTTGAGGCTCTGGGATACTTTGTATAGGTAGACTGGGTATGCAGGGACCAGGGAACATCCATTCTGTATTACATGTTCCCCTGCCTAACCAGTAGTATTTCCCCTACCTTTTCGGGGTAGGAAATTAATGACACCAATAAACAGCCAGGCTTCAAGGGACTTGGTGGGTGTGAAGAGCAGCATGGAGCTTCACAGACACCCATGGATCTGTGGGTGTAGGGGGATAAAAGAGCCAGGTACTCAGTTGTCAACACAGACCAGTAAATCCTGGCCCATTTGATTGTTTTTTTAACCCCTTTACAGGTTTTACCTCAGGAATAAACTACTTTGTCCGGAGTTTTCATGAAGTGGCAATTCTCAGTACTTACTACCCCGCTGAAGAAAGTAACATCACTGAGTCATTTACAAAGTTGTGCTGTTAGCTCAAATCAATCCCTGTACCGGGAAAGTTTGCACAGAGAACCAACTCTGGGTGCGGCTGCATGCCTTATTCTGGGGAAACAGGATAGAAAACAGGAGCTATTTTCAGAATAACATTTTAAGGAAAGACCACAAGAGATTCATTTTTCAGATGCAAACACTAGCACACAGTGAAATGAATACACAGCTGGCACTGTGGATTATAATCAGCAAAGCACAAAAGTTGGAGAGAGGAAAGACCTAATAGGTCATTCTTTGTCCATCTCCCACCCAGCACAGGACTGTTCCCAGCAATATAAGCTGAAATTCTATTAAAAGTTACCTTCCTTGCTATAAATTTAGACTTCTTTGCATTTAATCTTTCTCAACAGAGTGAAGGGATTCTCCAAAGGACTGCTGGTAGCTCCTACCATCTCAGTTCCTATTCTCATTCCATTTCCCAGAGGCAAGCATTATACTGAGAAAAGAG